ATGTGGCCTTTTGCCGTCGCCCCAGTCGAGGCCGGATGATTCAAGGATGCTGTGTAGGCCGGATGCATCGAGCGCACGCTTCACGATGTCGTTGAGGGCGGCGTGACGTGTGAGACGACCACCACTCCGACGACAGGACATGGGTGTAGGCCAAAGCTATCGACTGATGATCCACAACGGAATAAGCGAGGCCCGCACACTTTGAGGCCGAGTCTCGTCGCCACTCCGATACGGAGGCTATTATTGTCGAGCAGACTACCGACGGAAGAAGAGGGGAGTGCGTGAAGCCAGGCGCCGCTGTATGGTTGGCCGGAGGAGTTAAGACAAGCCAGGAGGTGCTGATTCAGATTCAGTCTTAATTTCTCGATCAATCGTTGGCAACTGGCCTGGTCCTATGACTTCTGAAGGTGAGGCTTTTCGACTGGTGGCATCCCGAGAGTCGGCCAGTTTGTTGACGCGGACATGGGAGTACCGGAAATGTCGTGGCCATGGCTCTCCATGCCAAATAGAATCTTTTTGATGAGTTGTTCGTTGGATTGGAGGGAAGAAAGATAGGCGGGAAGCGCCAGATCTGATAAGGCTCTCAATCCAATACCGCCAAGGGACACGGGGAGTTTGGCGTGGGACCATGCTGTATCATCGAAAGGGATAATTGTGATGAACTCAGCTGCGTGACGTAGTTGTTCGTCGAACGTCGAAAGTTCTCTTGTGGCTTGGTAAGCCGGTGCACTCCGAAAAGTGTAGACTTCGGGGCAGCAAAGCAATGGCGGAGAAGAAAGAGAGCTGGGTGCGAATCCAAGAGACATAGTCTCTCGGCCATCAATCGCAGGTCCGAAGTTTTTCTGGCTATTGACTTCCACACGGCCTCAATATCGATCGGTGTACCCAGCAGCTCCACCTCTGACAGCTTCGTGACTTATACACCTGAAAGGATTTATTGGACCTCCCGAAGACAGTAATCGAAAACCGATGTTGAGTAGCCGATGTTAATTATCTTGGACTTTTGCGGATTGATTTCGCGAAAGACTATTGAAGGAAAGCAAATTGGATGCTAACTTCCAAGTTATTCTTCCTCAAGTATTGATTATTTGGCACCAGTAAGCCCATCATACATCATCCAGGTATTGCTTTTGTTTTACAGCCGTGGGTTTTACAGGTGTGTGGGGGAAAACAGGGGAAAAACCGTTGCGTTTAATTGTACGTTCCATGCGAGGCTTCTGGCGATTATATCTCGCATTTATTTTCAGCAGAGAAGTACAAATGTAATTTGTATAGAGGAGTTTGTCTTTGGGATGTGTTTTTGTCTGTGTGCATGTGTGTGTGTGTATGTGTGTGTGTTTGTGTGTTTGTGTGTTTCAGTGTGTATGTGCGTTTGTGTGTGAGTTTGTGTGTGTGTGTGTGCTATGTGGGGGAGAGAGAAAGAGAGAGAGAGAGAGTTAGAGAGAGACAGAGAGAGAGAGA